TGCCTTACATCTCCTAGGAGCCAGACCGGGTGGGCAGCTGCGGGGGGGTGGTGGGGGGTGGAGGGAGGCGAGGGGGAGGCGGCTTGCTCCTTTTCTCACATACTGGCCACTGTGCGGATTCTCCGGGACAGCTGTGACATAGAGCCACGCATGAGTGGCTGACATATCGGGAATGTCTTCTCTTCTGGTACAGAGGGAAGTGCAACAAAGTATCAGCAGATGTTTCCCTTGGGGCTGTGTAGCCAAAGCTGTGATGGTTAATTGTTGTGTGTTCTGACAAATAAAGCTTGCGTGAAGTCAAGACGGTGGAGCTAGCCATTAGTGAACCATAGATGTCTGGAGGTCTGTCTAGAGAAGAACAGGAAGTGATAAGGCAGGGCGGAGACAGGATCTGGGTCCTTTTGGACTGGAGGAACGGAAGAGGAAGGAAGTGACTGTGGCTGCTCTCCTGCTTCTCTGATCTTTCAGGTTTTACTACATATCTGACTCCTGGTTTTTACTGATAAGGTTCATTAGATTTACGCTTCAGTTAATATTGTCAACTTGACAGGATCTAGACTCACCTAAGAGGCAGACCTCTGGGCATGCCTGTAAGGTTACTTCTAGACTAGGTTAACTGATATGGGAAGACTCACTCTGAATGTGGGTGGTACCATCCCATGTTCTGCATCAAAAGGAGAAAGCAAGCTGAGCATCAACATTCATCTCTCACTGCTTCCTGACTGTGGATGCCATGGGACCAGCCGCCTCACCTTCCTGCCGTGATGGACTGTACCCTGAAACTGTGAGCCAACAACGCTCCTTTCCCTTAAGTAGCTTTTGTTTCATATTTAGTCCCAGCAAAGAGAAAAGTAACTAATGTAGATGTTGTCCTGGCATTTCTTCTTGGTGAGTGGCAGCCATGTTTACCTGCATACACATGTGGATTCTCCTGCAGTGACCTTTGCTCCCAGCTTCCTCTTTGTGAGGACACTAATTGTTTGGATCGGACCCACCTTTATGACCTCATTTTAACTTGGTTATGTCCACAAAGACCCCTTCTTCCTTTGCATGTGTGTATAGTGAGCATGTGTTTAGGCATGAGTTTTATATGTGTATGTGGGTATCTGTGCATATGTGTGCACACGCACGTGAAAGCTGGAGGCTGATCTCAGCTTGATCCATTTCCCATCTTACTCATTGAGGCAAGGTCTGGCAATCAAACCCAGAGCTCACCGATATGGGCTAGTCTTGCTAGCCATCTTGCTCTGGGCATCCCGTCTCAGCCTTCCCAGGCTAGAATTATCAGAGGATTCCCATACCCAGCAGGCATTTATGTGGGTTTCTGTGGATCCAAACCCCAGTCCTCATGTTCATGTGACAAGAGCTTTAATGGCTGAACAATCACTGAAGTCTACCCCATCCCCCAAAAAGGACCCTTTATGAATGAGACCACACTCTGAGGATCCAGGGCTAAGACACCAAGATGTGCTAATGTGATGGACAGTGCACTCTAAATGGCACCTAATTCAGTGGTTTTACTTTCTGACATACACTGTCTGAGGTTTAGATCTAGGTCCCAGGGCCCAAGACTGATTGATACTCAAAAATATTCTCCTCCTGCCTCGCAGAGGCTCATGCATCCCAACAGAACTCAGCAGTTTCTAGAGGAAGCGTTACACAGGGAGGTTACAAATGACCAGAGGGAGAAAACTCGGGGGTGGAAATTAGCCGTTCGATGTTCAAAATGTGTACTGAGCATCGATTTTCCCCTAAGAACACTTAATCACCCCTTATTACGTATTGGGAAAAGACGGGTAAAGCTATTGTTTCTAACCAACAAGGACTGAGTAAGATCGCCGGCTGTGAATAGGCAGAATGGATGTGTGAGCCCTGCACAGGTACTTACAGTGAGGCTGGGTGTGCCACCAAGGTGAGGCCCACATCGGGAGGGTGTCCTGAGGCATCCCAGCACCCTGCCTGTGCTGAGAAACACTGAGCCCAGCCCGGGCATCATAAATAACAAATGATATCTCTGAACCCCGGTGGCCAGCAACAGCAGACCCACAAATCGGGGCACATGGGACCAGGACATAGTCTATGTTAGAGGCAGATGACATAAGAGAAACGCATGCAGGTGATTGGAGCCGAGTTCCTTATCCCAGTCTGTGTGGTTCCAGTCCATACACCCATGCTGGGAAAGCCGGCCTCTGCCTAGCCAGCTTACCTCCACTCCTTACCTCGAAGCCAGGCATCTCCAAGGATGAGTGTCTGTCTCACGTCACCCACCATCTTTAGCGCTGTCCCCACTTGCAAAACATCCAGTCCTTGGATTCGAACTGCTTTCTCCCTGGCTAGTCCATGGAATAGATTTAAACACCCATTGTTCTCACCCAAGAAAGTGATCAGTGTTCACTAGAAGCCCTTCCAGCTCCTTGGCCTGGCCTCCCTCAGTGGCTAGCTCTCCAGCTCTCTGAGACATGAAACCACCCACCAGCCAGACCACCAGGGTTCTCCAGTTTGTGTGAACTCCAGTAGAGGGGGAAAAACATGTAGCTTTGCTGAAGTCTAGCATCTCAGGCAAGGTCCAGATGCACCCATAGCCCATTTCCAGCTGGCTCACACAGCATGAAGCCTTACTTCCCAGCAGCAGAGAGAGGTGCCAGGGCCAGGAACACCCAAGACTATCAGTTTCTCTGCTAGGAAGGATGGGGCTGCCCTGTGATAGCGTACCTTTAAATATTGCCCGTCAAATGCTTCCTTATCTCATTGTACTAAGTATGCTTAACACATTGATTTTACATAGAACTTAAAATATGTGTGTGTGTGTGTGTGTGTGTGCGCGCGCGCGCGGGCTGTATACAGGTACCTGTCAAATCTGGAACTAGAGTTACAAGCAGTTATGAGCTACCCCATGAGTGCTGAGAAATGAATTTGGGTCCCCTACTAGAGCAGCCAGTGCTCTGAACCACCACGCCATCTCTCCGGCCCCTGAGTTGGACTGTTTTTCTTGATTCTCTATGTGTTTGGCTCTGACTCATTCCTGAACTCTTCTCTAGCCGATCGACTCTCATGACGTATTGATTTAGATCACAGATGTTAGGAATCTCATTTTCTTTCTGTCATTAGTTACTTCCTCTGTGCTGAAATTTTGCCTCCCAAGCTGAGAAACTTACCTGGCTCGGGAAGCTGGAAAGTGAGAAGATTCACAAAGCTGGTCCCCCAAGTTTACAAAGCAGTAGCAATGTCCAGGAAAAGAGGAGACTCTTTGGTGGAACTGCCTGCAAAGTGTGCCGAGATCCTCACAGGGTGCAACTTTTATGAGTCGTCACCCATTCTGGGGTTGAGGGTTTGGGGGTGATGATTGCAGCTGCCTTTGAATCATCCATGCTCCCCCTCAGTCACCCCAATAAACTCACTGGTTCATGGATCTTTTCTTTGTCTGTCATGGATACCCTACCTAGAGTGAATAGATATCTGTTTGCATTTCTACTAGAAGCCACACAGCATCAACATCGTTGCTAGGCACCTCTATGTTCTCCCTGCACTGTGTCCTGGGTGCCTGTCTCTCTGATGAAGTCTGGACCTTCGTCCCTGTAGCCCACCACGTCCTCCCTGGCTGGATGGAGCACCTCTCGTGTGGCTTCCCAAGCAGGGACATAGAGAATAAAGGTTTTTGAAAGCTCTAATGCATGGAGACCACTGAATCTGTAATTAGGCTGGGCACAGGGCTCAGGTCGGAAGTCACTTCTGCCTAGATTGTTCCCGCCACTTCCATGAGGCTGCTGCTTGACTCTTGTCCTTAGCCTCCCTTCTGTGTCTGTGACCAAAACGCTCTGACTAAAAGCAACCTTTGGGGGTGGGGGTTATGTGACTTACAATCCCAAGTCACAGCCCGTCATTGAAAAAAAAACTCAAGGCAGGAACTTGATGGCAGCCTACTTGCCATTCCACACAGCATTACCCCCTCTTCATGGACAGAGAAGCATGGTAGGAACCATGGAGGATGCTGGCTGGGGGCCAGCAGCCTCATGCACAGCTGGCTGTCTTCTATAACTCAGGAACACCTTTCCAGTGCCACCCGCAGTGGGCTGGGCTCTCCTACACCAATGACTAAGTACAGTCTCCCCAGATAGGCCCACAGGTCAGTGTGATCCTTCAAGTTTCTCCACTGAGGTTCCTGGATGACTCCGGGCTATTTCCGGTTGACAGTTAAAGCTACCTGGAACCACCTTTTCCTCTATAGCTCCTCTCGGTACACCTCGTGTTTGAATATGCCCTAACCATGTGGCTTGTTGTTGTTGTTGTCCATTGTACATATAGTCTACTAGCCTCTTGTAGTCGGAAAATGCATGCTCTTTTAGAAGTTTTGTGAACTAATTCATAAGCAATTCTCCTGAGTCCCCCACCTCCACCCCTCAACTCCCTGACCCTGTTATTCACATGTTAAATTCCCATGTCACTTTCTGAGTTATTCTCTCCATTGTCTTCATTCACTTTGTTTTTACTTCTTACTCAAGTCTTTAAACTCCATGCTTGCGGGGGGGGGGGGGGGGGGGGGGCTGGCGGGGGGTCACCTAGATGGCTCAGTGGTTAAAAGCACTGGCTGCTCTTGCAGAGGACCTGGGTTCAGTTTCCAGCACCCACATGGTGGCTCACAAGCACCCAGAACTCCAGCTCCAGGGGATCTGATGCCTTCTTCTGACCTCCTTGGGCACTGCACTCGTGTGTGTTTACCCACACATAAACTTATTACCAATAAATGATTTCGTTACCTTCTTGGTAGATCTACAAGCTGAGATCATGTAAAATTTTATTGTGTGGTTGAAGGAATGTCCTAGTATGTTCCAGCAGGTTCCATGATTTCCTGGCATTGGGAGAGGGCTTCTCTTCCACCTCCGCGTGTGGTCTCAGCAGGGCCACCACCCCAAGCACTTGGATAGCAACAGCTGAGTGGGGCCCAACACTTCTAAAAGCTCAAGCCTGACACTGTGACCCTTTCTCACCCCCTCCATCCACAGAGCCAAGGTGAAGAAGGGGGTGAACATTCTGACCGTGCAGACCAGCGAGCCTCGGCAGTGGGATGTGAGGCAGGAGGTTGGCAATGGAGGGAAGCACACCACCACCTCTGTGGCCTGCCAGCGCCTGGGCCCCGGGGCACGCAATAGGTAAGTAGCCCCTCCAGGGCACTCTGATTTTGTATCCAGCTTTGTCTGCCGCCTTCTTGACCACTGCTGGCCCAGATGTTAAACCCAGGACTTCATGCCCACTGGAGTACCAGATGGCCAACGATGCATATGTAGGTACCAGCCTTGGGCTCTTTGAACATTGGGACAGAAATGACATCACCCCCATTTTGTCATTTAAACTTATTTCTGTGAGTTATCAGAGGATGCTGTGATGAAATGCTCAGTCCTGCACACAGATTAGATGTAGCCATTGGTGAGAAGGAACAGAGGGAAGGAGGTAATAAACTGTGATGCTAAAAGTAGGCTGTCATGAGACTCTCCATCATCTCACTGTGGGTTACCCCTGAAGACAGTTGTTTTATGGCTATGAGAACTGCACATCTGCTGTTTTGGAAAACAAAACTCAGGCACTTGACGGCATCCTTTTACCTGCTGGCTAAGATGTGGGCCATCTCCTTCCAGGGTCTTATATACAAAATCTCCGTATACAGGATATCCATAGTAAGTTATTTGTCTTAGAAGTTTTGGATCATAATATCTACTTGGAGTTTTAAGACTTTTTTTCATTTATATAGGAGATGTTTTATTTTGACTTTAAGTACTTCTTTAAAACAATGCTCCCAGCCGGACAGTTGTGGTGCATGCCTTTAATCTCAGCACTCAGGAGGCAGAGCCAGGCAGATCTTGATGAGTTCGAGGCCAGCCTGGGCTACAGAGCAAGATCCAGGGCAGGCACCAAAACTACACAGAGAAACCCTGTCTTGAAAACAACAACAAAAAAAAATTGCTCCTGGCTACATAATAATATATAATACATAAAGATACAGGTCTTTAACTTAATGCAAGTAAACTTGCTGTGCTTTTGATAATCAAGGTTGTTTTCATGTTTGAGTTACCTAGATCAGTGGTTCTCAACCTGTGGTTCATGGCCCCATTGGAGGGGTCAAACAACCATTTCACACGGGTCACCTAAGACTATTGGAAAACACAGATATTTGCATTATGACACAGAACAGCAGCAAGATTACAGTTATGAAGTCGCAACAAAAATAATTTTGTGGTTGGGGGTCACCACAACATGAGGAACTGTCTTAAAGGGTCGCAGCATTAGGAAGGTTGAGAACCACTGTCCCAGATAATGCTGAGCAGTGAGCTTCCTTCCACAAAAATCTCTCTCTGGTACCCATGGAATATAGAAGCTGAAGTGGCTTTTCTAGCTTGGGTTTCTGTTGCTGTGATAAACACCATGACCAAAAGCAACCTGAGGAAGAAGAACATTTATTTGGCTTCCAGGTAACGTTCCATCACTGAGGGAAGTCAGGGCTGGAACTCAAACAGGGTAGGAATGTAGCTTGAGTTTTCCTGCCTGGCCCACGGTCAGGACAAATCTCTATCACCTGCCAGTCCCACAGCCTCTCAGACCCGACCAAGTAAACACAGAGACTTATATTGGTTACAAACTGTATGGCCGTGGCAGGCTTCTTGCTAACTGTTCTTACAGCTTAAATTAATCCATTTCCATTAATCTATACCTTGCCACATGGCTCGTTTCTCATCGTGGCGGCTGGCAGTGTCTCTCTGACTCAGCCTTGCACTTCCCAGCTTTATTCTCCTCCTTGTCCCGCCTACACTTCCTGCCTAGCCAATGGCCAATCAGTGTTTTATTTATTGACTAATCAGCAACACATTTGCCATACAGAACATCCCACAGCACAGGAACCTGGAGGCAGGAGCTGAGCCAGAGACCATGGAGGGGTGCTGCTTACTGACTTGCTCCGCCTGCTTTCTTGTGGCATGCAGAACTACCTTGCCCAGGCATGGCACCACCCACAGGCGACTGGGACCTCCCACATCAGTTACCAATCAAGAAAATGCCCCCACAGATAGTCAGTGTAATATAGGCAACCTCTCAACTAAGGTTCCCTCTTCCCAGGTGACTAGTTTATGTCAAGTTGACAAAAACTAGCCGGCACAATGCACCCTCCGCCTCATAATGTATATTATGTTTGATCTTCTCTTGGTGATGGCTGGTAAAAGAGTTTTAAGTCATTATGAAAGCTATATCTAAGAAGAATGCTTTCTGCTAATCTGTAGGGTGAGAAGAAATGGGAGGGACAGAAAGAGGAAGCTATTGGGTGCAGTGAGGTGCATTCAGAGTACATTATACACTCATGCAAATGGTTTTGAGTTTGTGAGGCACGTGGCTTGCTTGCATTAATAGAGAGGCCGATCGCATTCAGTACGGGCTCCAATAGCTCTTTAGGAGACATTCAGGCTGACTTGTGTCCTTTCTAGCTGGAAGAGAGCTTGGTTTCCCTGTGCTGGCTTGCATGCAATCCGCTTAACAAAAGAATTGCTCTGCCGACCTGAGTGGCATAGGATTCATTTATTAAAAATTGACAACCCTTCCAAATTTGGCATTCCAGCTGTTTCTCTGACACATGCAGTTTTTGCTGAGGTCAGTAAAACCCAGCTACCAGAGTTGACAGGTTCCAGTAAGCTGTCCACGGGCCGATGGTATCTGACTTCAGCATGGCTGGCATCTCCAATGACTGAGCTTTGATTTTTGAATGGCAAACGTTAATTGTACATATGAATGGAGTACCACGTGATATTTCCCTGTAGGCACACAGTGTGCCGTCATTTTTTTTTTTTTCGTCAGACATGTGATCCCTTGTTAGGGCTCTCTACAGCTCTCCTCTCAATGCGCTTTCCTGGAGGAATTTAGATACAGGAAAGAAAGGTTAACTTAGGGGACATGTCTTAATTAACCCTTAAAATGCTGCCATTAAACAAAACTACTCCACTTTGTTTATGAGCACCTTATTCGTGGGTCCATGGGACCCTCTGCAGGCCCCTTCTTTAATGCTCATGAAAGACAGCTTTCATGCTGAATAGTTCCTAGCTTCTGCCCTCACCATCCCCATGGTGACTCCTGGAAGAATTTTTGAACACATCCCAGTGTCTGAGTCTTTGACCTTGTTTAAAAAAAAAAAAAAAAAAGCCAGAAAGAAAATGTGTGCCTGGACCCTTCGTTATTTGGGAGGTCAGAGGATAAACTAAGCCTTCCCAGTTGATGTCATGTAAAATCTAATTACCACAGACAATTAAGGAAATGAAAGTAGGCATGCTAGTTAACAGACAGTGAACTTACACATGTAAATAGTTCTTTGCATCCGACCCAGATGGAGAATCCTTGAAAGGGAGATGAGGTATTTGTTGGAAACTCTGAAGAGCCATGTGGTCAACCCTGTGTGTTCTGGGGCTTCTAAGAACCCGCGTTGAAGGCTGGCATGTTCCTGGGAGGAGAGTGCATGGCTTTCCTGGTTTGGTCCTTCAGGAGGATCTGGTTTTGTTTTAAATTATTTTTTTAAGTTATGTGGGAGCGGGGGAGGTGTGTGTGCACCACATCTCTCTCTCTCTGGTGCCCACAGAGGCCAGAAAAAGTGTCTTGGATCCCCTGGAGCTACAGTTACAGGTGGTTGTGACCCATTGTGTGTGTGCCAGATGTGTTAGGTCCTCTGCAAGAGCAGTCAGTGCTTTTAACAATCGATCCATCTCTCCAGCCCCGCCTTTGGAAGGCTTTGGCAGAATACTCTGCACCATTTTCACGGTAACTTCACTTTAGACTCAAGACAGGTAGACTGCCACCGGCTAGACTCAGGGTGGTCACAAGCAGGTGGATGTGGTGGAGAAAACCTGGCTATGCTTACCTGCTCTCAGTTTCCCTAAATGACGTCTGAGAAACTGATTTTTCCCCCTTCAGCACACTTGCTATGGAAGGACCAATATCATCAGTGTGCTCAAACACCCTTTCCGGATTGTGACAGCCCGGACCTCACAATAGCTGCCACTCAGTCACAGGGACAGATTGATATAGCAAGGGCCTGGCGCATGCCATGAAATAGCCACCTGCTGCTGGAGAGTCTTGTCGTCTGTGCAACACTGATATTCAGCCCCCTTCACACCCATTCCCCACTTGGACCCTCAGAAAGCCCTGCATGGCTCTCCACTCCATGCTGGGTGGGAACCACTGAATGCGAGCCACACCTGATCTCAAGTACCCAGAGCATGTGGAGCTCTTGAGCCAGCTCCCTGTAGCTCACACAGGGCCTTAGACTTGTCTATCACTGTACAACAAATCATCCAAGGACTTGGACCTTAAAATAATATGCCTTTTAAATTATGTGTATAGGCGTGTGTGCGCGTGTGCGCGTGTGCGTGTGTGCGTGTGTGTGTGTGTGTGTGTGTGTGTGTGTGTGTGTGTGTAGGCCAGAAGACGACTTTGGTTCTTGTTCCTCAGGCAACCATCCACTTTGTTTAAGGCAGGGTTTCTCACTGGCCAAGCAGCTGACTGGACAGTGAGCCCCAGAGATCATCCCGTCTCCTTATCCCCAGTGCTGAGATTATAAGCACATGCCAGCATACCCATCCTTTTTCACGATTCCTAGGCATCGAACTTAGACTCTTGTGCTGAGCCACCCACCCCACCAACCCCAGCAGCGTACCCTTATAACCTCTATATATCTGCATACCTTATCAGAATCTTCTGCTCCAGGTCTCAAGGCGGGCACCCATCCAAGTGTCGTCCAGGGTCTAAAGCATCATGTTGAAGAAGGGTCATGTGGGGAAGGGTCCTTGTCTCTACACGTAGATGCTTGTCCCAGTTAGACTTCTTGCCAACTTGACACAGGCCAGGGTCAGGGTCATCTGAGAAGAGAGAACTTCAATTGAGAAAATTCCTCCATCAGATCAGCCTGTGGATAATCCTTTTCGAACATGGGAAGATATGGTTCTATCATTCATTGTGCCTCTGCATTGCCCTGGGTCTTTATGTTAGTTCCTTATTACGGGAAAAAGGTCACCACAGGTGCGATGCCTTAAAATGACGTAAGTTTACCGTCTGAAAGTTCTTGAGATCAGAATACAAGTGACTTCACTGGGAATCGATGCAGATGTAAGCAAGGCTGCGGGGATGG